TAGGATGGGAAAAGAGCTCACTCTATTACTACTTATTTTTCTAGGATAATTGTTTAGTTTTTCTAGGTCCACAAGTTTTAAATTAAAGAAAGGTACCTTTTGAAGTTGATTTTCTATAAGGCTTTCAGTTCGAGCAAGACAAGGATGTTCTGTACTCTAATAAACTTGGAGGATTAAATCCAAGGAATCCGCCATATTATTTCTTCAAACGTCCTCTAAGGCTTGAATTTAGATATCTGGTAACTGTCCAATGAAACTTGCTTTAAGATCTCCACAAGTTTGTATTGAAAGTTAAGGTTGTGAAGTTGATTATTGGCATGAAATAGGCCCTTGAAATCCTTCCAAAAATAATGATGTTGCCAGATCTACTGTTCTAAGGAAGTCAAATAAATGGTATTCTACTGGTGATGTTTTAAAACAAGGCAATGGCAACTGAGACACCATGAAAGAGACCCAAGGGAGTACAATAAAAGGAAAATGGAGTACTGGGAAACAGAGATAAAAAACAAAAAGAAATGTAGTTAATGTCATAGTCTAACAATGCACTTCTTTTGTGTGACTCCACGAGATTTCGACAATGTCTCGTCTATTTGAGCGCTAATTAAGGTGGTTGATATGGACAAAATGCATGTCATTTAAGAAAATATTTCTGAAAAAATATAATCTACACATTCATAATTATTCCATAGACACGTTCTACAAAATTTTTTTTTTCAAAAAATGCAATTGAAAGTGTGAATTTTCACAGCTAAGGTGTCAAAAAAGCACAGAAAACCCAGAGCATAAAGACGAATTTCTTCAATAAATCTCGCAAGGAAAGTAATATTTCTCGACTCAAATATTGTATACATAAACTTAATACAAGAAGATAACTTTTCGCCGCAGCCCTGCTTGGAAAAACGARTATGCGAAAATTGAGCGACKTTTGACTTTGACTAATTATTACAACACAACTATTTATTATTTTGTTCCGGGCAGCGGTGAAACGTTTTTGGTATTCCTTTTTTACCCGTGTGCCAAGTTTTGTACTTCTAGGTAAATATTTTGGTTTACTTTCGGTCAGTAGAATGTGCTTGATCAGCTATTCATCGTTTAAACTCAGCATCAAACGCTAACAGCAAAAGTTTTGGCCGCCATTTTGATATATGTCGTAGGAGATCAATGTTGGTTCGTTATCCAATCGATTGCGATCCGTAAATAGCCGAAAATCCCGAGAAAAAGCCGAAATGTCGACGATTTCAAGAATGGACGCCATTAGGACGCCGTGCGGTCAAAACAAATGACGTAATCCATAGCAACGGCTTTTTGTACATGCGCAGTTCCTGCGCGTAACACGAACCACATACTCAAGCAGTGTTTTTGCGTGTCGCTTATGATACTTGAAATGACTTCGATTTCGTTGTGAAAAAGAAATGTTTCACAACAAAAAACGGTCTCTGAACGCTCATTCTTTACGTGGTGTCGGAACTGGTTCGCGACTAATGATTACAAATGAATATCTTACCAAGCATGGTTGGAAAATCGAGAAAATGACGAAAGGTTTCAAATGGATAAATCAAGAGGGACGAGTATTTTATTCTTCTAAGGCCGTTGAAGGATTTATTCGATCAGAGCAGGAAGGAGGAATCCTCTCAGACGAATCAGACGCTGATTATTTACCCTCGGCAAGTAGTGATGACTGCCTTAGCTCCCCAGAGAAGTCCTTCAAGCAGAAACGGTAAGTTGCATGACTTCTTTGATTTGGTATGTTTTTGGTGATGCAAAATTTTTTGATTGTTACTTCTCTATATCTCTTATTTTGTCCTGTATAACAGGTTATAGTGACCTCATTTTTTTGTGGAAATTGTGATAGACAAATTCAAAAATAACAGAGGAAAAATACCATAATTCCTGATATTGAAATCAGGGGCTGCAGAATGTAGTTTATTTTTATATGACAGCTATCTTGCAATTAGGTGTTTTTTTTATTTTTTTATTTATTATTATATTTATGATTGCCCTGTTTATAACCATTTATATTCAAATGATCTATTCTAAATATTTTAGGCTCAAAGTCAACCAAGATGACAGTAAAATCTCAATTGAGCTTCCAGTAAAGTATCACATAGCAATGACATCTCAGKTAGAGGATTTTATAGAACAAATCAACAAGACACATTCCTGTACTGTGCCAACTGGATGCAAAGGTAAGTTATGTTTTTTTCTAATTAATCAGTAGCAAGGAGGGACCTGAGGTTTTAGGTTAAACACCTAATGCAATATTTTTGGCAATGCTATGTCACCGTTTCATTAATATTATGACAGTACTACTCAGTTTTCATCACAGGCATATACCTCAAGCAAAGAGTATACAAATTGTGATGTTCCGTAAATACTACTAGTGYTATTGTAATATCTATGTAATAGCTCTTTTATTTGTATTTATATGTTTCCATCTGTCATGTAAACACATTGTGAGCTTTTGCCATCGTAAGTTATTTTATATAGCCGTAAAGATGGCCAATGTTGGCCAAAAGCTTGTCAATTAAAAKGAGATTATAAATGTAGTGAATATGAAATCATAACTCATAACTTTTGTTTTAATCAGGAAAACTTGTACCAGTAAAGATCCAAGACAAAGGCCTGGGAGGTGCAGTAAAGGTCAATTTTGCATGTTCTGGCTGTGGCAATGAAATTCACTATGCCAGTAGTCAGGTTGCATTAATACACCACAAACGAAACTGTGTGTCTCTGGCAACAGCCCTTTGCTTTCTTGTATATGGACAAGGTTACCATAACTATTACAAGGTTTTGAAGTTAGGTATGGGTGTAGATGTTCTGGCAAGAATTAATTTCCAGAAAATTATTAAGTTGGCTTACCCACACATTAAAACTGTCTTGGATGGCATGTGTGAAAAAGCAAAAAGCAATATGCAGTCTGATGGATGTTGGTTAATAAGGGGCTTTCATAGTCAATGCTGTACACCTTTGTTATCCTTGATTTTATTTCTGGTGGAATTTTGTATTATGGTCATCTTTGTATGAGAGGGAAAAAGAGTGTTTGTGACACTGATTTATGGGAAGGCACTTCCAAAGCTGCCGAGGGCCACCTTGCCTATTTGCTTTTCAAGAAGGCCAAAGAAGAGGGCCTCAACATTGCTTTAAATTGGCAGGATCAAGATTCAACTGCTGAAAAATCATTTAGAAGTATTTTTCCTGATGGTGAGTTGAATCGTGTGATGCTGTGTGGAGGTCATGTTGGACGTTCCCATGGGAACAATTTGAAGGAATACAAGGGGAAGAAAGTTGTTGACAAAGGCTTTATTGATAAGCACAAGAAAAACCGCCCAGAAATTAGCAAAGCAAAATGCTGTTGTGAAGGTAAGAAACACTCCAAATCATGTGGGTGTCTTTCTGATGATTTCATTGCTGCTGCAAAACGAAATCATTTTTCTGCTCTAAAACAGAGTCACAATAGTTCAGAGGAATATTCCAGGCGTATGATAGCATTGGGAAGATACCACTGCAGAGATATCCACCAGTGGATAAATAAGGATGGCGAAAATGAGGAGTGTGGATTTCATGCCCTGGTTATTTGCTCTTGTGGGTCATGTGTAAGCAATGGAAGTGATGGTAATGACAGTAATGATGCTGGAAGCAGTGATGATGATGATGGCAGTGGTGGTGATCATAATGTTAGTAATGGTGATGGTGATAGTAATGATGAAAGTGATGATAATGGTGATATTAATGATGAAAGTGATGATGATGAAAGTGATGATGATGATAGTAATGATGATGGCAGTGATAATGAAGACAGTGATTATGATGACATTGATAATAGTGATGAAGATGAAGATCCTCAGTTGAAATGCCCTGGTAAGTCATATACGACTCGAAAGATTCTTCATTGTGAGCTTCATGCTCTGTTGTACGAGATTGAGTGTACCCGAATTTCTCAGAAAGCCAAAGATATTGTGCATGAGGAAATGGGGAGAGGACACTCAAGCATGCCTGAGAGCAAGTTTAATGTGTTGACTCGCTTTCACACAAAGAATGTTAACTTACACCAATTACATTATGAATTTATTACAAATGTTGGATTATGCCAGAGTAATATGACATTTATGTATAAAGAATATGGTCCGTCATATCACTGGATGAAGGAATTGTATGACCTGTTGCACCTCCCAACTCCTGATGGGCTAGAGGAAATATGGAGAATGGAAAATGAAAGGAGAATGAAGGGGCTTATCAAGAARAGAACAGATGCAGCAAAATCTGCTAGAGCAAAGAAAAAGCAACAACGTCTTCAAGAGAGCAAACAAAGGTGATAAACATTTAGAACCAGCATCTGTATATATAARAAAAAATTCAAACTGTTTATTTATTTTTGTTCACAATAGGAAGAAATTTGTTCAGAGGCAAAAGATTGTGCATAACTATGGGGACCAAGGGGAAGATTTTGGAGAAGAAGAATTATTACAGGAGGTACAAAAGAAAATTCGCAAGAACACTGGCACTCGGGAACAACCAAAAGCAACCGATGCTCCCCGAGGAGCCAGAGTGAATATTGGTGGGCAGCAATGTAGATGCGGAAGTAAAGAACATTTGCGCATTTCCCACAGAACTTGTCCTTTGAATAAAAACAAAAATTCTTAATAGATACACTAAGACTGTAGATTATACAATTTTACAAAGAACACACAAATTAATGAGACTGTATTGTGGACTGCTTTCTGTCATGTCCTTTACTGTAAAAAAAGTAATTACAAAAAAGTAGAAAGTGTCTTCTTTGCAGGATTGTATAATAAACTTATTATCCACCAAGCATATTTTAACTGTAACTGTATTTTGGTGAGCCTTTTTATATCATTTTGTTATCTGTCTATCCAAGAAATGCAAAAGAAATAGGGAATGGGAATAGAAAGGGAGAAGTGAAGAGGAGCACAACTTTAGTAATAGGGACAAACTGCTGATCATAGTAATCACAGTGGTTTATTATATGTATATTTTTCCAGTAGTAACAAATTTAAATGTTTCTGTATAGTGTGCTTAACATTAGTATATGAAATAAATAAACATGAATGCTATGAAGTTCTCAAATCAAAAGGATTTATTATTGGTATAAAGTTTCCAGTGGTTACAAATTATACTTATTTTGCTGGATAGTAGCATCAAAAGAAAGAATCCAGACTTATTTCAATACTAAAATTTAAAAGAAAAAGAAACAGTAGAAGCCTTTTTATTTCGTAACACATCATTTTAAAAGCATTCAAAGGATAATCTTTTGCGTTAGATATTTACATACAAAATATTGCTAGGTATTTGATCATAATCGATTTATAGACAAATTAAAAAAATTAAAAAATACACATGTTTTCCATTAAATTTGAAAGTGAACATAAGATTATTTAAACCATCTACTTCTTTGTGGCAGGCCATTTGGCTCTGGACAAATCTTCTAGTTTGACATGGTACACCTATAAAACAATTTTGAGGAAGAATATATTTATTTTCACAGTTACATGTATGTCTTGTTTTGGGAACACAATACGGAGAGAAATTGAATATTTTCATGTAAGTGGATGCCATTGAATACCATTTGAGGAAATATGATGAATTTATGACATACCCTTGACCCCGTAGGATCTGGATAGTCCGCTAGGTTACCAGGGACCATTGCTCTTATGACTTGCTTCACACAGTCTGGATAGACGTAGGTTGGTTTCTGCGTGGTTCCAGCGACCACGCATTCCCCGATCTTGCTTCCAAACTAGAGAAATAAATAACATCTATCACGTCCTGAAATACATATGCCCAATTTTTCAGATATAGAGAACAATATTATCTTAAAGAAAATTTCACGTCTGAATACTCGCACGTGTTACTACGGCGTAATAGGGATTGAATATTCCGAGTCATACACAACTAGCTAGCAGTACCGTCTAGTAAAAATTCTTCAAAATTCTAAAACTAAATAAAATACTAGTTACTTACCCACATTAGGCACCAAAGCCGTCGGTAAATGCGGCTCCTCATTTTCTCGCTGCTCTCCCTGCTTTTAATAGAAAATCCTTTGAGCAAGCGCACTAGACCCTCGGGTATCACAAGTCTAAAACGTTTTAAAAATTTTGATTATTATAACGGTACAACGAAAGTTGAAAATATTCAATAGAAAAGTACTTACCCTTCTCTTTCAAATTCGGTGACGAAAACCAACAACGCATTCTCTTTAGAAGCCATATTTTGAGACAAAGTTAAAGCAACAAGCTTCAAACAGCAAGCGAGAAGAGCAGCGAACAATAAGAGAGGAGTGAAGTTTTCACGTGCAAGGTCATAACAACAACGTCTTCTCATAGGTTCTTTTCATCATGTGACACATCAAACAACTACCAGGTTCGTGTTACTGCGTGTAAACAAGACCTCACTAGACTAACTTATTTCTCTGATACGCATGCTCATTGCAATTGCATGGTATCTTATTTGAATATGGCGACCCAAAATGGCGGTCTTAGTTACGATAAATTTGTTTTTTTATGCCGTTTCTCAACAAAAAAGTAAGAACTTATAGGACATAATTGTTAAAATGTCATATATAAAGTGGTCTGAGTGAAAAAAATCAAGTGCATTTTATCCATATCAACCACCTTAAGCGTYATTTATTGCTATCTTTTTCATATTGGGTATATTTAACTATTTTGAACTGCATAATAATATAGAACAGTTCTAATTATTGAGAATTGAATATGGTTGTCTCACAAAGTCTACAGATAACTTTTCGAGTGGAGTTCTTGGAGAAATTATTATATTTTCATTAAATGTTGCATGAATTTTAGGTGACAACGATAAAAAAGTCTTGAGTTTGATTGGGAATTTGATAAAAACTCCATCACCATTTTTGTCAAGGCACTGATCCCATCCTTCATGGAAATTACATGCTGTAAAACAGTCCTTGCTTAAAAGCCTTGACTTTCCATCTGGATGTTCATCTCTTTTTCTATCAAATAAAAACCTGTAGCAGTCGCTGTGGAATTCGAGAACCACTGGTGATCTTGATTTGCCTTTTAACTTTGTTGATATGGCCACGAGCAGTCTATCTATGTTTTCTTGAAGTCTTGATTGGGGTACTTGTGGACATTCGTATGATCTAACAAAGAGGAGTATATTTTGATTATAAAGACCTAAATCTAAGGGGTTGTTTGGTGTACATTAAGTCATAGTTGTTTGCTTTTACCTTAACAACAAAGGCGTCAAATTTGTCTCACACTCCCACGTCGAGGCATTCAGACTGTAATCTTCCCATTTAAGAAGATAAAACGTCTATAATAAGAAACAACATTATTAAAACGACTTCTAATGTATATCTTAGTTTAGAAAGTTTCATTTAATCAAAGATACTTACTGTGTTTCCCTCGATTCTTCTAGAAATAATTCGTTCCACGCTATAATAAGTTTTGTCTGCCATATTGAAATTATGGAAATACGCGCCTGCAGTTCGCTCCGCTGACCGACTAAGCTGTCCTCGATTCTTAGCCATGTTGCACGTGACGTCATACTACATGCATAATTTACCGTCCGCCATGATGGTGTACAGGATGCTCATTTGCATACGTCAATATCACCCACGTGTGCTGTATTTTGGTTGAAGTTTTCAAATGTATCTATTTACTATCTCGAAACTTTGAATGATAGATTAAAGAGAGGAATCTGTTTACAGAAGAGATATTACGGCAGGTTAACAAGCATGTAACAGCCGTAACACGATTTTAACCACGCATTCTTTGTTTTATTTGTCAAATATTATTACAGCTCCCTCCCAAAAGAGAAAAAAAAGAAAGTAGTTTTGTTKACGTATTCCTAAATAAATAGAGCAACAGAAATAATACAGTGATGATGAAAAGGTATATAATATATATGTATATTATATATACAGAAATAATATGTGTCTTTATCTGAACTTTACTAGTTAGCTTTTACTCGATAGATGCATGATTGTTTCCGTTTGTTTTACAAGAAATCTGTAGACGGACGTCTCTTGCAMTTTTCTTTCAGTTGTCGTTCTTTATGTCTTATATAAACTGTCTTTTCTACCGGAAAATTGGTCTCACAACAAAAAAATAGTAAGGAGATAGCTATGAAGAAAAATTGAAGGCATTCGTGTTTATGAGCAACATCTAGACTTATTTTTACTGTACTTACATGAATTAATAAACCAAAATACGACACTGATTGGTTCTTTCTAGGCTTGTTGTCAGTTGTCATTTCATGATCAGGAAATCTAATACGAGTTGTCGCTTCTTTTGTATTTCTGGTCGATTAGTTTTAACACTCATATTCAAAACGTGTGGTAAACCAAGGATTGGCATCAAGTTACAAGCATTGAACAGAGATTCTCAAGAATGCTGTCAAACTTTGTCGTAGCTTATCGTTGCCGAATTAAGTATCAGTAAGTTTGACGATTTTGCTATGTCTAGTTTTGTGGATAAGGAATTTCAGCGGAAATCTGGAAAACAAGAAACTTCAGAGGTATCACCTAATGAGACTACAGAACAAGTTCCACGGTTGGTCAGACCATATAATAGAGGGGAATGGTTATGAAAGCCGGCGAACTTCAAAGGACCGGCCTATTGTTTCGCATTTGATGTTGAACCGTACCATCACGTGACACTGACCGTGCACACATTGAAAACAAATAAGGCGGCCGACAGTGAAGAGTTTGTATTTGGAGACAATTTGGAAGCAATACTCGATATTTTAGAAGCGGACGAGGACATCGAACGGGAATTTTTAGAAGCTGTAGATGAGGTAAGTCTAAAACATTGGATTGACTTGATATTATTTTAGAAACCGTCGCAAAATTCCTTGCTCAAGTTCTACGTATACAGCATTCATCGCAAATACGGTACTGTCAATGGAGTTCCGATTCAAAGTTCAACTTTTACTATAGTCTTAATAATACAAAGATTATAAATCTCCCACTCTGTTTGAATATAAATCATCTATCTATCATCTATATACTATCATTTTGATTCATATTGCCTAGAAATCGACAAAGTAGTATGTTGTTCTTTACTCACTGTTATAAGCTTATCCATAGTTAACTTTGAAATCCTTGAATCGATTTTTTTAGGTCAAAAAAGATGAAGTTACATGTGAATTCTGCAATAAAAAGTGCAAGAGCATACGTGGACTTAAACGACATATTACTATGAAGCACGATAAGCCAATCCCAACAGCTTCAGAACCAATTCCAAGACAACAGGAGGAAGAATCTAGTACAAACACCTCAATGACTACAGACGTCCTTGTTGTCATGGTCGACGACGTGAAGCTCAAGTTGTTAGATAACTTGATCTATAACGAATCTAAGAGGGATGAGATAAAAGCTTACAGTTTTAATAAGCCTGCTGAAGAATCAGAAGAATTTTCAGTTATAAAAGGAATCTGCATGTTTGAATCGTGGAGGACTGTGGTCTATAACAACTGATGCTGAAACTATATTTCTTAAAGCTGAGAAGTATTTTATAGTATTTACCTCAAATGCTTGTCCACAAAACATCAACATTGCAAGCATAGTGCACAAATGTGTTCATGACGAGAAAGTTATATCTAGCTATAATTCACTTGTATCTAATTATGAACTAGTAATAGAAGATAGCGTAGGGAAAGATGTCATTTACAGCATATTAAACTTGTACGTTAAAGGTCGATCATTTTCTCTTGCTAAAGACATTGTCCAAAAGCACAGTTCAAGATAAAAAGAAAGCACAGAGTCCAGTCCAGGTTCTAGGATACGCCGGCCTAAACGCCCACAGGGCGAAATGACCACTTTATTCGCCTTTAATATTCAGGCTTAATATCATTAAAGACACATTTCTACCTTTAAGCTATCAAATAAAGGTAATTAACGGTGCATTGCATTTACAAATGTTTTATGGTGTCGTAATGTCGTGTTAAATGTAAGTCACCTTTAAACGACATCAAAGGTAGTATATTAAAGGTAGATAAAGGTTACGGTTGGATTTATATACCGTTAATGTTGCGTGGTAAACATGGATAAAGTTATGTTCCTATTTAAACAACTTTGTAGTTAGAGATTAAAGGGAAGTAAAGATGTATTGGGGGATCTTTGCAGTTAAAGCGCAACTAAAGCTATGTAAAGGGATCGCGTTTTATAGAGCAGTTGATGATGTGTCAATTCTTTTTTTCTAGTTTCTGTGAGCTTAGATGCCCTCTAATTTAATGATATGCTTTTGAAGCCTGGTCCCTTACGGAAAAACAGAATAAAAATTGTAAAACGACTCCGAAAAGACGAAAACAGCCCTGTCGTTCCCATGGTAATTAGTAAACAAACATTGGACGCCGCTATTTAATAACTGCGTCTACTTACTTTGAACGTAGCACTTTCAGCAGCATATTTTGTGATTATTACATCGTACAAGCGACATGACGAGCCTTAATGCTAACTCTGGCTATGTTTATTGTTCTCATTGCAATGAGAACGTTTCGGAATCGACGTATAGACGACACATGAACTCCTTTAGTTTCGCGAAGAAAGCTACTGGTTTTAACGAATATTCCAAAGTTGAACCGCATGAAGAAACTTCATCGTCTGATTCTGAAGGGGAATTGCCGCGAGGTTCGTATTTTTGTAAAATATTTAACTAAATTTACTATTCTTACAAACGAACTATTTGTACGCTAAAGTATTTTCTTGGTGTAAAGCTAACGCTCATAAATTTGCTAAAGGTGGTTTTCAACAATCAGAACCGAGTGATGATCATGAGTTTGAAGCTGAATCAAATTCTCACATACTGTTGGTAAGTCTCATTCCTTAACCAGGTTAAGCGAACTATATAACCTTCAGGCCCACACAGATATAGCATATACGTATACCTCATTCTTTCTATATTGAAAGCAAGATGTTGTTTGGAGTGAAAGCTGGATTGGCTTGTTATGCGAACCCACACGCGGAATCTTAATGTCTAATATTTGTTTAGTATGCAAAGTCTTCAGATTGGATAAGTGAATAGAATAATAAAAGAAAACACAACACTCCTAGCTATGTAAAAATATGATAAGATGATTTGGCTATCCTCAGCTATTTTGTAATCTACTACTCTTTATAGAAATGAAAATCGTCTAGGAAATTGTATAGTATAATGTATCTGTGAG